AGAATCAATATCTTTAAAGATTGTAATATAGGTTGATGAAAGACCAGATGATAGATTTGATCCATAATAATCCTTAATTCTAATATATTGCGACTCCTTTTCTAATTCTTGTTCAATTACTTTTCCTAACTCTTTTAACAAAGTATTCCGATCCAAATGCTTCTTAAGAACTCCATTGATAGATTCAACACGTTGGGTTGATTCTACACCTGTTGTAAATACCTTTATAGTAGAATATCTTGCCCAAGATTCACAGCTAGAATGTAATCTTTCAAGATAAGAACGACACTGTTCATATTTTATGAGCATATTATTATACCTTGATTCAAACTGATCTTGAGTATAACTGTTTCACATATGGTAAAAGTCCTCAATAAAACTCTTAGCTATTTCACCACGTAATTTAGATCTGACCTTCTTTTTTATATTCTCAATTATATGATAAATGTATAGCAAATGACGTATTCGAGGGTATACTACATGAACAGCAGCAATCATTGCTGGATCTCCATCTGTAAACAATACTAAAGGTGACAGATTATTAGTTGCTTCCAATGTACAATGTAAAATCCATTCATAATCAGCTTGTGTTTCATATTTTGTTAGTGCTTGAGCAAGAATTCTTGTTTTAAAGTCATTATCAATACCAACAAACAAACTGAGAGCCATTTCATATCGATTAGTTTTTGCTGTATTGTCATGGATAACAACATCATGAAATTTAGGCCAGAGTTCATTACGTTGCTAGCTAGTTATCCAAAAGAGTCCTGTAAGTTCGTTAGATGGTCCTTCCAAACGTGGATTAACTATATAGTCAGGATCCTCATCACGATGTTTCAAAAGATCTAAAAGTAATGTAGCTGCATCTGAGTTATCATGAATTCTAACACCATGAAACTTATTAATTGCATTATACAAATTTTTCTTTTTAATATGACACTGAGGAAATTCGGTTATGAGAAAATCATATTATTGCCTAGCTCCTAATTGACTATTAATAGTATATGTTCAATCTTGTCTAAAACTGGCTTTGGAAGGTGAAGGTTTTTTGGAGCCAATTCTATAGTTTCAGTATCACATGGATGATTATGTTCATTAATAAGTTTAGTAAGACAAATAACACCTGTTTGTTTCCAAAATAGAAATTGACATGCCACAGACAATTTGTTTTAGTTGAAACACTATCACGATGTATATTAATATCGTCTACTTTTTTTGGTTTATTCATTCTAGATTTCCAGCAACTATAAACATAATGACGAATGATAGACTTATTAACAACATCAAATTCTTTTCGACATTTTCTTGCAACAAATCCATATTATTTTGCATATGAATCAACTACATATTGAACAGTATCCCAATTATTAAATGAATCACCAATTTTCATTTCAACAGCTCCATTCTCATTATCTATATCAATTTACAATTCAGAATCATTATCATTAAACATATCAGAATTGGTCTCATTATCCATATCAATATCTATTTCAGGTGTTTGCTCGAAGGTATAATCTGTGTCATTTTCATTCAAAGTTTGAGAAATAGTTTGGTGTTGATAGTCTTCCATTAGATTTCGTTAAATTATGAAAAAGGAGAAAGAGAAATAGGTATGTAAAAGAAAGAAATGAGTAAAAGGGAAAGAAAGAAAAAAGTTCAATAGAGGTCGTAGAAAAAAGTGTACAAAGATCAGTTAATCAACAAAAATAATATTAATATAATTTGGTTACACACAAGCCACATTATATCATTTGAGCCACCGGTAAAAATCACCACTGGTAATACATAGTAATTTTCTAAAATAAATAGAAAAAATAGAACGATAAAATATAATGATAAAAAAAATTGAATAATAAAAAGAAATAGATCAATAGAAAAAAAGAAAAGACAATTTTGCCAATAATTAATTAAAAAATTTATGATTTTAAAAAAATTACTATAATATTTTGATCTTTAATATTTTATTCTAAATTAATTTCTTTTATAAATAATTTAAAATTTCTTTTCAAATTCAAAATATTTTAAAAAAAATTTATATAATGCTAATATAATAATCTTAAATGATATTATTAATAAATTAGAAAAAATTAAATATAATGAAACATTCATTTTTTGATAATTACTGACCAGAAATTTTATCTAATATTACTAATATGTGACTATTGAAAAGACCTTAAACAAATTTGTTATTATCTTAAAATAGTTAAGTTATTTAGTTTATTAGCTTGATTTTAGTATAATTTCAGGTCTTACATTTTGGTAATTAAAAAGACTATTAAAAGTACTAATTATAAATGGATTGGAATTTATATTATAAACTTTAAATAGCACATGTTAGACAATATAATAAAGAATAAAAGAATCTATCAACTGATTATACCTGTCTAATTTACCATCCAATATCAGAAAACATCCCTCATATCTTTAAGAATTTTTGGATTAATGCAGAATTTGAAGCAATTATATTTATTAGAAAAACTATATCCCTATTTGAACTAATATTATAATACTTTACTACTATAGTTTTTCTTAGCAATTACAATTAGATACTACTACTCCATCCCCTTGTAAACAATTACAGCGCAAAGTTAAAAGATTTTTATATAGTTTAACCTAGAATACTTAAATCAGGTTCAGTCAAAAATAATCAAAGCAGCCAAAGATTTAAATTGTTTTAAAGAACCAGTGAAAATACAATATAATTTAATTGCACTCTTAATAATTAACCCTATTTTAATATTAATAAATAATATGCCAAGAGGAGGAAATCAAAATAAATCAGATGAACTTATATAAGAGTAACTGCTAAGCCTTAGTAGTAATTAAGAAGATGAAGATAAAAATCTCATGGAAGTAATAAAAAGGATGATGAAAATTTAAATGATAAAAAAATCTTACAACAATAATTAGACAAATAAATGATTCTTTAGTATTGCAAAAAAAATTAGAGATACACAACTACAAGCATTTCTTAGAGAAACTAATATTATACTAGTACAACCATTTTAGAGAAATGATAATAAAGATACAGAAAAATAGCTCAAATATTTTGAAATGGTAATAATAGCAAATAATTAGACACCTGCGTATTATTGCAAGAATTTTAAAAGACTAGCAGTATTGTGATATAATAATGAACAGCAATTGTTTGATATTAGAATATGCAAGATAAGCTGCCACAAACTTTATTTCTATAATTAGAACTTGTTTGTGGGATCCTGCAAGGTAATTTTAATAGCTTAGCCTCCATTTTTTCATGTTTAGGAATGCGATCTAGCATTAATTCAGTTTGCAGTTTTGCTAGTTTAAATAACATTATTTACTATAGATCAATTTTAAATAGTTATAGTTTACGATATCAACTGGTAGATTCTTTATAAAGAAAGCTTCAACCATCGCATACTTCATGAAATAAAAAAAAAATAATTTTACTTGATATATAAGTCAATGAAATATTGTAACTCTTTATTATAATAATCATACTGAAATAAAATACGCTATAAAGAGCCTGCACACATGACTAAATGACGCATAACATTACATTATTAATTTTATAAAAGCAATTTATGAAGATTAAATAATGCTGATAACACTTGCCCATCTTCCATTTGGTTCTTTAAAATTAAACCAGTTGTATTACAATTTCCTCTGGCTACTTTTTCATAATTATAGCAATGTAAAAGTGAATATATTAGGATAATAATTTGAATTTTTTTTTTCATCTCCACAGATGAGATCTTGTGATTCTCTAAAATAATTCAATATACTATATTATTAATTAAAATAAATTTTTTTCATATCTAATAATTATAAAAATAATAATGTTTTTTATTATAAATAATCTTAGCTTCAAACAAAGAAATTAAAAATAATAAACTTTTAATGATATTTTAAACATGAAGTTACGTAAAATAAGAATACATTTATAGTAAAAGTTAGAAAACTGCCGAAAAATATAATAATTTGTAAACCTTTTACAAAGCGCTATATTTTCTACTAATTTTACATAAGAATGAACATATTTACATCGTTGAAGAAAAAAAAACTTATTCTGTTCTTCTTTTAAATATTAAGTGCAATGATTGAATTCTTGTAAGTATACCATTAAATTGGTCAAGATGTAATTTATCTTGATGAATACTATCTGCTGGTAAAGACACCTCATATTTTTTTACTATATAGAGCGAGATAAAATAATTAATTTCAGAAAGATAATAAATACATGTGTAGATATAATATCATGTTTCTTTATAAACAAAAGATTTTATAGATGACTTACATAAAGCACACAGCATCACTCTTTATTGAATAATTGAAAAGTTGTTACCCAAATATCTATTTAATAATAATACTAAATAAATTAGATATTTGACGAAAAATCAAAAAAAAAGTCTTTGACTTATGTTTTAGTATCACTGCCCAAGTATATTATTCGCGTTTTTCATCATTTTCATTCTCAAATCTTTTAGGAATAAATTCTTCAGGATTCTTTCAATATTTTGGTAAATGATGGATTCCATAAATATTTATTGTGATAGGTGTTTTCAGCAAAAATATATGATTTCTAAATTTAATAGTCTCTGAATTTTTTCTTAATGATAATCGATAAACCTTCATAAAAAATATACATTTTTAATAAAATAAATTCTCAAATTTTAAAAACTTTAATTAATACATACTGGAGGATATAATCTTAAGTTTTCCTTTATAACCATATTTAAATATTTTAATTCTCTTTGCTGATCTATGATTGGGGTTAAAATATTGCCAAGAACGTGTAGTATTTCATCACAAACTTTTTTTTGCACATCCTTATTCAATAAAGGCAAGATCCAAGTTAATAAAAACAAAAGTTATCTAAAATACAAAAATTCTTTAAATACCTTGTGGGTGGCTAAGACATATAAGATGGTTGTCAAAGCAGTAACAGCTAATTTCATTATTTTTAAAAAAACAAATAAAGGTTACAAGTTTAAATATAATAAATAAATAGAAAATTATTAAAGTTCTTTCTTACTAGTATCATGACTAGCTAACATAAATATTGCAAGATTATACTACAAATTCAAGATTATTATTAAATAAATTTTCAAAAAAAAAAATCTTGTTTTGAGAAAAGTTTCATAATAAATTATAATTCTTTACACACATTTCTTCAGCTGATATAGGATATTTTGGATCACTAGAAGCATATATCATATATTCTAAAAAATAAGCGGTATTATTGCTTATTTTTTTATTCAATTCTTTTGTTTCTATTGATTTACGTTTCGTTTCAATAAGTCTATTATATAATTTATAAATCTTTGCAACTTTTTTACACGCTTCAGTATGATCAAAATACGGGAAATATTTAATGAATGGAATAATAAAATATATAGATTTTTCACATTCAGCTATCACTTCTTGATAAGTAGTAACACAAACGTTTGTTAGATCTTCAAAATTCTATTTAATATTAATTATTTAATCATCAATATCTTTCTCTCTTTTCTTTCTTTTTTTTAAAAAAAATTTTATCTTACATTAAAATCAAATTCAAAAGCAACTCTTCCGAGAATGTCTAAAGTAAGTCTGTAATAGTTAGTCTGATTTAAAAATTTTCTTCTCAATCACGAAAAAATAATTCGAGATTATTTTACCTATACATAAGTTCTTTGACTTCTATGTGTCCACTATCAACTTTCTCAATGAATTTCAGTAATTTCACAGCAGTTTTATAAAATACGTGCATAGTAGATTTTTAAACGCGAAATTTATAATATGATTAAGAAATAAAGGGAAATTAATTACTGCACTGCCTGAATCAATCCACTGATGATAAATGATACAGTACTAATGACGTTTTCAAACCTATATACAAATAAGGCAATCGAAGATCAATCAAAGATCATATCATATTCAGAGAAATTTAAAAATACACTTTCATCACTGTTAGAAAAGACAATATTCATACCATAGTAATTAGTCATAAAAGATCTGGGAAACGATTCTTCGAGTAATGATTTAGAATATAAGTCTAATTCAAATTATAATGTCAAAAACAATCCAAAAAAAGGAATTAAAAAAAAAAATAGTTTTTGAAAATACTTCTTTTGTAAGTTTCAAATCGGTTGTAATGATATGCCATTCTCCATTGAACCAGAGCTATATTTATATTTTTTTTTAAAAAAATATTCTGAAGATTTATTATTATTATTCAAATAATGATAATTTTAGTTACTTTTCCAATTCCTTCTTTCTCGAGAACTTCATGTATATCTTTTCAATTTTTGTCAGGACTATTAGAAATCATAGCTGAAATATATTTCAAGAAACTTAATGTTAATATATCTTTAATTCTTCAGGTACTCTGAATTTTGGATAAACTTTATAAGCTATAAAAATATAAAAACCAAAATGATTGTAAAAAACATTTTATTTGAACAATTGTTTTTTTTAGAGAACAGGTGATCAGAATCGTTTAAATGATATCAAATTATTATATTACATAAATCAAAAAAGAAAAGAAATGATGTTTGAAGGTTGAAATTAATTAATAAGAGGTTAGAACTGGCCAAAAATTCTTTATCGGTTAATTAACCGGTTAAAATTAACTTGAGCTAGCATTATAAATTTGGCCAGAGTTAGAGAATATTTTTGCAATCATAAATCTTAATTCTACCAGAAATTGAATTTTGATCGGAATTAAATTCATCTATTTTAACCGGTTAAAAATTAACCAGTTCCCTCTAATGTCAGTTAGGGAAGATAGAAAACAGTATATCAGGCCAGACAGTATGATTATACAGATTGGTAATTTTTGAGCAATAAAAAACTGGTATGTTGTGTCTTACAGTACTTCAAGTTGACTATTGCTCCAATTTAAAATTAGAACAAATTGAAAATTAAGACATGTAATATTCCAAGTTGTCTATTTTCCTAATTTAAAATTGGAATAAATTGAAAACTAGAACATGTGATATCTTAAGTTAACAAATTAATATTAGGATAAATTGGAAATTAAAATATAAGATGTCTAAAGTTGACTATTATCCTAATTTAAAATTAAAGCAAATTGAAAACTGAAAATTTGATGTTTTAAATTAATTATTAATCCAATTTAAATTGAAATTTAAGAAAATGAGATGTTCTAAATTGACTATTATTCTAATATAAAATTGAAGCAAATTTGAAATTAGGAACATAATACTTAAGTTGACTATTATTTTAATTTAAAATTGAAATATACTAAAAACTAGAAATGTAGTAACTATTATTCAAATTAAAATTGAGATAAAACATGATGTTTTAAGTTGACCATTTTTTTAATATAATTTAAATTTTATAATTATAAATCAAATATTATTTTTCTAAATTAAAAAATTAATTTTTGAATTCAATAAATTTAAATTTAAATAAAAAATAGTGAAATTTATTTTAAAATTATTTAATTATTTATCATTTATATAATATCTTTAATACAAAATTTACTAGAAAATAATTTTTTTTTTAATATTAATTAAAATATAAAAGCTATTTTTGAAATTTAACTATTATTTATTATTCATTTTACTATTATAAAGAATAAATTTCAGAAATTTTGATATTCTTTACCAGGATGATATTTGTTATTATAAATTAATTTTTTTTTTATAAGAATATTTCATTATATTATAATAGTATTAGAATATTAACTTTTTATTTAAAGTATTATTTTGTAATCTAATTACTTCTAAAATATCTATTAATTTAGTTTTTAATTCTTAATTTTAAATTTTTCCTTAATAATTTATATTTAATTTTTCTTTAAAATATCCTAATTCATAAAATATTTAAAGTGCAAATATTTTTAGATATACAAAAATATATAAATCTCAAATACTATTATAAAAAAATTTGGTTAATTATTATTGGATAATAATAACTATATAATATAATTTTGAATGTTAGTAAATTTGATCGAGAATCTAACATTTCTAATAATTTAATATTATTTACCTTAATAGTATTGATTCTGAAGTTAATTTATCTAATTTTTAATAAAATAAAATAAATAAGTTCTAATTAAATATAAATTAGTATAATAAAATTAGATTATTTTTGTTAAAAAATTATGAAATTTTAAAAAAAAACTTGTTAATTATCCTAAAAATTTAATTAATGATAAATCTATAGATAAATCAAAGGTGAATTAGTGATAATTATCAGAATATTATCATTGAAAATTATATTTACTTCTGAAATAAAAAATTTTAAAATCATGTAAAAATTTAATAATTTATCAAAATTGTAATTATTAGATAATTTTATAAATCAGATTATATGTAACGCATAAAAATAGAATTACAATTGCAATTTATAATTACTAAATAATTTTAACTAAATAGAATTACTCATTATATGTAAATTTTTCAAATCTTTGACATATATCAATATAATTTTATATAAATTTATAAAGTATTATTTTTTCTTTTTTCTTTAATTATTAAAATTTTATTTTACAATTTTTTCTAAATTTCATTTTTAAAAATGTCAAAAACAATTATTTAAGATGACAATAAAGTTCAACTTTTGATAAATGAAAGAAGAAGCAGAAATTTCAAATATTAGAATATATTCAAAAGATCTAAATTACCTTTTTAGAAGAAGTCACAAATAAATTAAAAGAAGAATTTAATATAAAATTATGTCTTTACAGTAATAAGCAAAGTTTAAAGAAATTGTTAAAGATTGTAAAGTAAGTAAAATCTTAATTAAAAAAGCTTATAATATCTAGTAATTATATAAAATAAAATTTATAAATAATAAATTTTTTAGTTATTTAAACTCTATGCAAAAGAAAAGCCTAAAAGAAAGTAAAGTAAAATTAGCAAGATATATGGAGAATTATTTGTAATTCCATTTTAAAAAAAATCTGATAAATATTTAAAAATGCATCTATTTGATATTTATATTAAAATTTAGTTACATTCAAACTTTTTATTTTAGTTTTTCAAGTAGAATTAGATTAATGTAAATTTTGTTATTTTAAGTTTCAAATATTTTAAACTAATTTTTAATATTTATTTTCTAGAAAAGTTAAATACTTTTCACTCCTCCAATCCTTCTTCTTTACAAAAATCTGCATCACCAAAAAGATCTGTCTTATCACATTACTATATAATACTAATACATCATCAAATATTGAAAACTCTTACTCTAACTATTAATATTCTTTATTATTATACTTAACTATTATCATTCCTTTTTCTTTTTCCATTTTTCTCCTTAAATTTCATATTCAATTTTTTTTTATAATTTTTTTTTTGATTTTCTGATAAAAAAAAATTTTTTTCTTAAATGAAACTTATTACTTTATATAATATTTAAAATTAACAGTTATAAACTAATCTATATCTGATTAATAGCAATCATACTTTAATATTAAAACTTTATTATATTCGTAATTTATTTTTTTATTTTATTTATATATCATTATTATAAAAACTTAAATAAATAAATAAAAACTATTATTGAATATTATAATCTTTAAATAAAAAGAATAGAAACAAATAATATTAAAGTAATTTTACAATTAGTAATTTATTAACATTGAAACTGGCAAAAACTAACAGACTTATTGAATATGACATATCTGTCAAATTTGCCATATCTGCCAAAGAGGACACCTATACTATTTATTATATTTCTATTATTTATATCATTATTATCATTTATAACATATTTAACATAATTAGCATATCTGT